AGACACAGCAAATGGAGATGCTAGAAAACATCAGAAAAAATGTTTTTCCCACTGTTGCTGCCTTCTGCTTTGTATAGCAGAGATGACACGGTGCCTCCCGCCACCTCATTCTGGGCCGAGATGAAAGCACTGAATCAGAGGTCGGCCTGGGAAAGGAAAAGCAGGTCACACACCAGCAGAGAGGCGAGCTTTCCGAGCTTTCCACCTGGCAGGAGAGCTGTCCGCTGGAAGTCTGTTTTCTCTAATGGGAATACAATGCTACAGGCCTCTTTCACCTGCGTCTGCTGCTTCTTCCCATCTTTCTGCACTAAGCTGCTCCCGGCGCATGTGCGGGCCTGGGAGTGTCTGTCGCCTAACACTCTCTTTCATTTAATTGCTGTGATCCATTCCCATGTAATATAATTATCGTCATCACCTACGTGTGTGTGTCTGTGTGTGACTGTGTGTATGTTTTAATCCCCCATGTGTCTTCTTTTCTTTATCTATGTTTTTTCTCCGCTTTGGCCTTCTCTTTACCAATGGAGTTTTCCCTCTTTTATTCTCCTCAAGGAAGTTGGACGTTTTATTTTCTAGTCTGATCTGTGGTTTCAGTTCTGGCTAATGCCTTAAAACCTATAACCCATAAACATGATTAACAAGTCTGATTAATATCTGAATCTTAGGGGCCAGGGAGATGGCTCAGTGGAACAAGCACTTCCCTGACAAGCGCAAGGGCCTGAGTTCAATCCCTGTTTCCAGAAAAAAATCTGAATCTTCTTTGGGAACAATGCAGGGAGCCTCTTTCAAGCCTGAGGATCCCTTGCTGTCATCCCGCATGCTAGTATTCTTGAAGTTTTTTCTGAACTTAAGCTGCCTGCAACATTCACTCTTACCTGATTCTGTGCTTGCTGGTCCTGCTGAATGCTGTGACTTCCTCCAGAAGTCAGAAATGCTCTTCACTAGCGATGCCACACTCACCAGCAGCAAGCCCAGGACTGGTTCTAAAAGCCTGAGCATCTGCAGAAGAAGAGAGAACACACATTCATGGGCAGATGTTGCTTCAGAGTTAGTGCTGGGAGGATGAGCCGAGCAGAAAGGGAGAGACCTGGGTATTAATGTTTCTAGTCTTGCACACGAATCTGCCACAGAAAAATAAAGTCCTCATATATTTTATTTAGGCTTTTTAAAAGGAAGAAAAAGAAAATTCCTATAAATATCCCCCATCTCACTTCTTCCTTTCTTAATTTCAATGTCTTGTATTGGAAACAATGGACAGCCTCTTCAGGCTTAATTTAACATTTGCAAAAGTAAAATGCATAGCAGTTTCATTAGTACTCTTTTTTTTAAAAGAAAAGATGATGTACTTTAAAAAGATGCACATATTAGGTGAAGTTTAAATAATATAGTATTTTAAAGCTCAGAAAAGTCATAAATGCATCAGAGTGGCTGAGTAAAATAATTATTACCAGGAAAGCAACACCTATGTTAAAATCTTGTGTGAAAAATATGGTGGTAGATATGGTTTTTCATTAAACCGTGTGTTCTTGAGTATCTAGCCAAAGGAGCATCACTTGGCATTGGCATTGGCTAAAGACCTTTGTTCTCAACAGCAGGACCACGTGAGGCTATAATTACCCATAATATTAGTGTCTGAAGACTTTTGCTTATACTTTGCTTATGTAATCTCACTTGAGTTTCTCACAGGGAGATTTCTTTATTTCTATCAGTCAGGTTATGTGAGAGAAGCCCTCTTCTGTCTTGTGCCCAGGGTGAGCCACAGCCATCGCCCAGGCCTCACTGCAGGACGCTGGGTACTGTCCAGTGGGCCTGCCTTAGCTGATGTGCTTGACACACCCGTGGCTGGCTGGGCACAGTGACCATGCCAGGCTTCCTAGGCAGGCAGAACCACCCGATGCTTGTTGAGTATGTTCCCAACCTCAGTGACAGGTGCAAAGGGAAATCACTAAGCAACAGACACAAAGATAAAGCTCAGGCAGAGGTCCTGATCTGCATGCTTGGCCTGGGCATATCTTGCAGGACAGCCTTGCTACAGACCCAAGTAGTGGGATTTTATGCACGCACGTGGGAGACAGGACAGGTTGTGTAGCCTGCAGAATGTAGAAAGCTGGGCCTGAGACTTCAAGAAATCCAGAGCTTCAAAAGGTGGCTCCCTCCTTCCCTGCATTAGAGAGCTCCGCCCACCCAGCAATGATGTGCATGCCCAAGGGAGTATTTCCTGGCTGCCTGCATTTCCAAAATCTTGTGTGTTCAGAGCACTGGGGACATCCTACTGTTTGACAGCTTGAAGGTCACCATCAAGTTTTATTAAAACTCTGCACATGGGCAGAAGTGTGAAGCTCAGTGCTGGCCGCCTCCACACCAGTGAGAGAATGCCTCACAGCCACTGTCCTGGTGCATCTTCTGCACCCACTGTTCGGCTCCTGCAGCCCCAGTTCTTAGGGCAGCACTGGCCCAAGCCCCAAAAGGCTCGCAGACAGATCAAGGAGGTGCCAGGAAAGTCGCCCCAGAAGTAAACTTGAAGCAAACGCAGGCTCAAATGCAAGTCAGGATGTGTGCTGTGGACCAACACCCTTCATCTTCCATATCAAGACCTTGGAGGGACAAAGACCATGTGGGGAGGAGAAGGGTCAAGGGTTTCTATTGCTGTTATCCAAAGAGGTATAAAACACGTTACGTTTTAATCCCTAAAGTACTTCTGAGGAAAAAAAAAATTGTTTTCTCCATTGAAAATACATGCAGAGGTAACAGTTGAACTCATGCCCTGAGCAATCTGTAAGCCTCTGGAAAAGCCAAAGAGGCAGAGGCTACTATGCTTCCCATTTTAGAGATGGAAAAATTGAGGCCAGGGAGGACAAATAACTTGCAGGAAGTCCCACATCTGTGAGGGCTGGTGGCTGACCCTCTGCCCTTCTAACCACTTCTCACTGTGCATTTGATTGTTGGGTTGACATCAAACATACTGCAACGCTGTATCAACAGCATTTTTCAGAGTATCCAGAAAGAAAATATGAAAGAGGTAGAGAAATATAGGTGGTATTTTGTAGCATTACTCGGGGTTGACTCTTATCAGTGACACATCAGATCTACCATTATATTAACTTAGTACAACAGATCCTAAGATTGAAGAGCATCATGTCCTTACTTCTTCCTCAGAGATTTTTTTAAGAGAAAAAACAAAGACAAAAATGTAAGTTTTCACTTTTTTATGCTTCCAGAACATTAAGCCTTGGGCCACAGTCTCTTTAGCATGAAGGTTAAACTTGGGATTCCTAAAAGCTCTTCAGTACCACCTGTCATATCAGGTAGCACCATGCCTGTGGTTTTCATCCCTCAGTGGAAGTGTCCTTCCCTCTGTCCTGGCACCTGGTCTGAGGTAGAAATTGTAGTGGTGCCTCCCTCATGAGGTAGCCCTCAGCTTGCGGTGCACTCATTTCTGAGAGCCCCCCCGTTATGTGTGTCCCATGATAAATGGTGAGGAAAGCAGCTACCATTCCCTAGAGACCTCAGTTCCTTCTGGGACCAAGAGAGCTTTGCCAACAGCCCTGCTCACAACAGAACTGTTCCGGAAAGCTGAGAAGCGGAACAGCCACGTGTCCTCCAGTGTGCGAATGGTAAACCAAATGTGTGTATACTTACAGCAAGATTTTGTTCTACCTGTATTACACTATGGTGATCCTTTCAGATACTATGCTGAGTGAAGTATCCAGTTACAAAAGGACAGTACTGCATGAATTCATTTACCTCGAAAGGCCCTCAAGGTCAAAATCAGGGAAACTGTAAGGAAAACCATGGGGTCCAAGTGGGAAGACAGGAAGATGGAGAGTTCTTGTTCAATGGGTAGTTTGCTTTGCAAGATGAAAAAGCTCTAGAGATGCCACCCAGCAATGTGAATACAGTCTAAATGGCCGAACTACACTTTTGAAATGATTTTGAGGATAAATTTTGTATTGTATGTGTAGAGGCCATGCGTGGTGGTTGTTATGGTTTGCATCTAGTTTTCCCCCCAAAGCCTCATGCAGTCATGGGGTGGCTTCTGGAGTTTGTGATTGATTATTGTGGGTGTGAATGCTGCACCTGCCCTGGGGCAGGTGATTTGCATTACAGTGTGAGGAGAGGAGAGATCTCGGTAGCTAGGTGCCTGAGCTGCTGTGACTCCCTTTGCTCTATTGCTTTCTGCTGCCACCATGAAAGGTGGCTCTCTGCCATGTGCTAGTCTGCCTTGCAGCCAACTAAATCCTCCAGATTTTAGTTCCTTTCCTTCCTTTGAATGTGAGCTATTTGTCCCAACAATGAGAAAAGAGTACCTGAGACAGTGGTACACACCTGTAATTCCAATACTCTGGGAGGTTGAGGTAGAAGATCTCAAGTTTGAGCCAATCTGGCACATTAGCAACACAAGGGGACCTTGTCTCAAAATAAAAATTAGGAAAGGGATAGGAAAATAGCTCAGTAAGAAGCCCCTAGATTCCATTCCTGCATCTTGGGAGAAAGCCTTACAAGATGGGATGTGGGAAAGCCTCATCCCTTACACCTGGGACTTTCAAACATTGTCTCTGCAGATTCAGGTGCCAGACTGAACCAGGCTCTGCCTCTGTCCTGATGAGCAGCAACTGCAGCAGCAAAGGGGTGCACAACATGTTAGCCTGTTTCCCTCATGAATGAGCTGAAACTGTAATTGCTGTTGAAATGAATGATTTAATTAGCCGACATCATTCCTCTGCCAAAAGAATGACTTAAAAACATAAATCCAGGTCTATTTTAAGAGACATATCATACCATCACATCATAGGAATTCATTTTGCTCTAAATGTGTGACAAGGATGCCAATCATAAGAAGGTCTGTGACTCGGTATATCTCCCCAGGGGAGGATAGGATCCACTCCTTTAGTTCACGAACTGTGTTGGTGCGTCGTGAGGTGCTAACATCATCTTCTCTCCTAGCCACAAGAAGACACACTCACTAGCAAAGCATTTCTTTTTCTTTTTCTCTCTCTTCCCAGCAATGCAGCAAAAAAGCCTCTGCCTCTCTCATATGGCTTTTGAAGTCCTCGGGCATCATCGCAAACCGCCCCTGGCCCCGGATCTCCCTCACCGTTGTCACCACGGCCATCATACTGACCATGGCTGTTTTCAACATGGTAAGGCCCAGGGAGGGCACTCTGGCCTTTTAGGCCTGTGCAAGAGCCATCCTGGAAACCTACCCATAGCTCCTCTGGGGATGCCAGCTCCATTCAGTGCCTCACAGCTGTAGCACGAGTAGCTGTCTGGGAACAGCTTTGCCCAAGCTGCCCCGAGAGACAAGGAGGCTGTGTACAGCAGGTGCCCACTCTGGCCAAGCTATGGGCATGATGGGAATGCTGCTCAGGAGTGACACTGGAGCTTGAGAACTAGAAAAGAATAAGAACACAGTCATGGCCTTCATCTTAGGCCCAGCCCCACTCACTGAGAGAGGCCTGTATTAGACCACAAGGCTCCATTTCCACTTCTTGAAAATGAGAGTTGAGCCATCTCCTCTAGGGCAGTTCTCAGAAGCCAAAGTGCTGAAGTTCGCACCTTGCTTAGAGCAACACTGGGCATTCTGCAAACAGAATCAGCAGCCACTTGGACTAGTATGGATGCCATCATTACCACTTGTATCTCCCTCAAAAGAGACACACAGGCCATCAATAGATTTGGAGACACGTTCTTATTCTCAGGGCCAGTGAGATAGCTCCGCAGACTAAGGGCCTGCCTGGCAAGTGCAGGAACCTGATTTTGATCCTGCAACCCCAGTGCTGGGGAGGCTAAAAACAAGAGGATGAGTACAAGTCTGAGCTGCATAGTGAGACCCTGTACCAAATACATAAAAATGAAAATAGTAATAGTAATAACAATAACATCATCATTGTCGTCACCACCAGAAAGTGCCCTGGTGGTCTGTGCACTTCAGTGCAGGACACAGGAAGCTGGGAAGACCTACTGCTAAGCCATTCTAACACAATGTGGACAGCATCAAAAGCAATGGGGAGGATGAGGAAGAGCCAGGAGGGCCTGCTTGGCTGCGGGTAGGCAGAGAGGCGAGAGAAGGTGGACAGCAGATGAAGAGGCAGGGCTTCTGGTTCAGGATGAAACAAAGATGTATACTAAAACTCTGTGTAGAAAAGGCTGAGGAAGTGGATGCACACCCCAAGTGTGCACACGGGATCAATTCTCAGTGCCTCTCCGGAGGCTCCACACTTCCTCCCAGACACCTGGAGACCAGGAGAGACCCAGGCCGCCTGGAGCCAGGGTGGGGTGGTCTTGTCATCTGCTCATCCTGCCCAGAAATGGACTTTGGGGAAGGGGGGCAGGGTGGAGAAGCTGTAGCTTGCTTCTCCTCCTCCCTGCCTGCTCTGGTGGGTGCGTGCCATCACAGCAGGGCAGCTAATGGACCGGCTGCTGTAGTTCTGTAGAATCGGTGAGCAGTGCTGGGCTGGTCTCCCCTTCCTCCTGGACCTTGGCAGTACCTGCAGCCCACATTCTGCTGCACGGAGGATGGCTGTCTTAAAGGCCTCGTCTTAAAGCTCCCAGGCCTGTGAGCCAGGGCTTATCCAGATGGAGGGGGAAGCGGCCAGGATGTGGCACCATGTCTGTACAATAAGAATTCCCTGGAGAGTCTCTCTCTCTGTCTGTCTCTGTCTGTCTGTCTGTCTGTCTCTCTCTCTCTCTCTCTCTCTCTCTCTCTCTCTCTCTCTCTCTCTCTCTCTCTCTCTCTCTCTCTTTCTCTGGAAGGATTCTAAGATGCCAGGGCCCCAAGTGGAGATGTGCATCCACCAACATGAGGTCCCTGCTGGCCTGTGGAAGGCTGCAGCCTCAAGCTGGGAACAGAGGACGAGAGACTTAAGAGAGGAACTAGAAGGACTTTCCTGAAAGAGCCCCACTGCTAATGTATTACCAGCCAGGACAGCCCCTGCCCGGGATGCAGAGACGCTGTTATGGAAACCACAAGATTGGGAAGACACCATGGGGTGAGGGCAGAGAGGCAGGCGGGGGACACTGGTGAGAGGCCACAGAGACATGAGTGTGTTTCTAAAAATGGCCTGCCTCATGACCTGCTTTGAGGCCCACTGAGAGCCAGCCCCCTGGAGGCCACACAGTGTGCTCCAAGCAGCTGGATACAGGAAAGCTGCGGGAGCCCACTGGGTCAGAAGTTATGTCCATGGGAGAGCAGAGAAACAGCAGAGTCCTGCTGTCCCCAGAGCCTCCAGGGGGTATATGTCCACCCTAATGATGGAGTGACTGAGGTGATGCTCTTATAGTTAGGGTTAATGACATGATGCGTTGCACACACAGGAAAATGATTACTAAGGTAAGCGATTGAACCTGTCTGCATTTTACACAGTCACTTCCTCTGTATGCAGTGAGAGCACCCAAAGTCTCTCTTACCAAGCTTTCCACATGTGATGCAGGATCACCAGCTACTAGATCCCTGCTCTAGATCTGTAGGCTTGTCCATCCGACTGTGGAACTGCCCCTCTCCCCTCTCACGCTGCATCTCCCCTTTGCCCTTCCACTTTGCCATCGGTAACAACCTTAATCGATTTCTTTCTTTTTTTCTTATCTTTCTTTTTGTGTGTGCGTGTACTTTTTGTGCAGGGCCTCACTACACAGCTCAAACTCATAGTGGTCCTCCTGTTTTCAGCCTCCCAGCACTGGGATTACAGGCAGGCATTACCACGCCTGGACTCCATCGCTGGCTCCGCTCACCCGGGGGCAGGGCCAGTGTGGCATGTGGGGCTGAGAATTGAACCTCAGCTCCTTCACTTGCCTAAGCAGGCGATGAGTCTACTGAGCTATCGTGCCTGCCCTTGGTCCATTTCTATGAGGCCAACTTTTTAGGATTCTTTTTACAAATGAGATCATGTGGTATTCTCCTTTCTGTACTTGGCTTATTTCACATTGTGTGATGTCTTCCATATTCATTTATGTCTTCACAAAAGACAGAACTCCTCCTTTTTTAATGCTAGTTAGTATTTTATTGTTTTCTATACTGTGTGTTTTTAATCTATTCACCAGTCAGTAGACACTTAAGTTATTTCTGTGTCCTGGTTGTTAGGAATAAAGAACAGTGGCATGCATGGGAGGATATATTTTTGAGGAGTTTTTGTTTGTTCATTTGTTTTTACTTAGGAAAGTGTTTTTTGTATAAGGAGTATCCATTCATTTGTTCTTAAATAAGTGAGTGACTATGTAACCAGTGAACAAATAAATCAGCACACACCCTTAAAAATATCTTTTTTTTTTAAATTGTAAAATCTACTTGGCATTATCATCAGGAGAAAGGATTTATCCAAGATCTGTCACTTAATTTTTTACAAGACAATACAAGTGAGAAGCCCCTGACTTGCAAGTGTACCGTATTTCACATGGGGTAATTAGTCATGACTGACAGCCCGTTTAGTCACCGTCTATAAATGTTTGACAAGATGAGCTTTTAGGCGGAGACTTTTTATTCACAGTAACTACGATCCCCTGGGTATGAAATTCATCTTCAGGACTAAAAATTCATCTTCCGCGTTGCTTTCTGTTTCTACAAAGAGAGATGTCATTGTCATGGGAGGGAGAGAGGCTTCTGGGAGACACAGGCCCGGGAGGATGATGGCCTCAGAGCAGGAGATGGAGGTAGATTTTGCCCCCTCTGCTGAGCAACCTCATGCGGAGCGATGAACAAGCTGAGCGGCTTTCCTGCCTTTCCCCTCCCTCCAAGGAGAGGAGGAGGAATCCACACCTGCTCAGAGCAATTTCTCCCCTCGTGCAGGAGAAATGCTGTCTTTATCAACACCCGAGGCCATAGAATCCATGGCTTCCTTTCCATGGACACGCTCCTCTTTCATTCATGTGGGAGATAAACCATACACGCCGTGGAAGCTGACCTTAGGTTCAGGAGGGAAGTGACGCTGTGCATGGTAGAGCTGCTGTACAAAGCCTTAGTAATAGCAGAGGGAGGCTTGTGCACTCCGCTGCCTTTGATCAAACCCTGAGGATTTGCCAAGAGGCCTGGGGCTGCTGGCCCCCACTCCTGGGCCGGCAGGGTCTCGGGGCTCCTGCCACTCACCAGGCGTCCTGCAGCATCCAGAGCCGTGGAGCCTGTGTCGGAGAAATCCCAGCGGGGCAGGAGCCAGGAGGTGGGCTGGAAGACAGGCGCACCAGGTAGGGGCTGAGCGGCCCGTCCTCGCTGTGCCTGGTTACTGTGCCCATCACTGTGGGGCTTCGTGCGGGATCCCACTCCCCAGGGCCGTCCTGGAGCAGTACTGCTGCACGTGGCACCAGTTCTTATGTTTTCCAGAGCGTTTCCTTGGGGAACGCTTCCAGGCTCTCAGAGCCCCACTCCAAGACGCAGTTCCATTTCCCCAGCTCTCCCTGTGAGGCAGGACTCTGCTCTCCACGGTAGCGCAGCACAGCTCTGCGTTGCTGGGGACGTGGGGTTTGCGGTATGCCTGCTTCCTCCTCAAAAGCAAAACCAAACTTCCAGAGGGAAGTTTTGTTTTTCAAGATAGCTCAGCGGTCTAAAGCGCCTGCTTAGGCAAGCTTAGGCAGGTGTGGGGGACCGCGGTTAGATCCCCGGCAGCACATGCCACGCCAGGGCATCATCTCAAAGGCAGACTCTATCCCCATTAAACTCCAGCTCGTGTTCCCTCCCTCCCCAGCCCCGACCCTGGGATGCTGTTTCTGTCCCCATCTGCCCCTATCCTAGGTGCTCCCATAGGATGGCTCCTGAAGGCATTGTCTTAGGGGGTCAGCCTTACCTCAGAGAGCACACTGCCCTTGGGGTGCTCATTTTCCTTTTACCGCCACCGCCTCCTGCAGCAGGCAGGTCTCGGTGTACCGTGCGCCTTTCCAGCCAACGCTGGGGGGCACTTACTCCCAACTGCTCCTCCATCCCCTGCTGTAACCCTAATTCCAGAGAGGGCAGAGATGTGTCAGAGGTAATCTGAGCTGGCTAGATGCTCCCTGTGATGTCCCTTTGCTGCTGACAGTGAAGTGGCCAGTCTCCACGGAAGCCCTGCCTGACCTGTACTGGGGCATAGGTGACTGCTAGGATTTTTTCCGAGTCTACATTTTAACAGTCCTTGCAAGAGCTGGGATCAGCCGAACAGTGTGTTCAGAAAACTGACTTTTTAAAATCCCGTTATACGTGGCTAGTGAAAGACAAAATGTCTAGGTCAGTTTTATGCAAAATGCACTGTGAAAGTTTTCTAAGGAACTTTAAACATTTGCTAATCACCTCTGTGATACCAAATACCAAGCTGAGTATTAATTATCCATCTCTCCTTTTTCTAGTATAGACTTTTTTGGTGTCAGCTTGCTAATAACCTTGCTTTTTTTTCTCCAGTTTGGCTTGCAGGCTTCGTTAGAATCGTGTCTGACAACCTGCACAGCCCTGCCGTTGTTTTCCTCACACTGACAGTGTCGCCATGTGCTTGCCTACATCATTTCATAATTTATTCTGAGAACCTGCCACAGGTTTATTATAAACTCGTTTTATGTAAACATGCGAGCCCCTTCAGACAAGTTCTCCCTTAAGTAACTCATAATCTCTTTGTTTTTTTTTTGTTTTTTTTTTGGTCAGCTCAGCCCCATCCTGTGGGCCAGGGTGGCACAGCCTGTGTTGCCAGGGATCAAGCCATGGTCCCCTGCACCTGCCTAAGCTTGCCTAAGCAGGCGCTTTAGACCGCTGAGCTATCTCACTGGCCCCTCTCTTTGTACTCCTAATTCCAATCAAATGGCAAACACAAACATCTGGTGTAAAACACTGCAAGAAACCACATGATCCTAATTTCACAGGACTGGCAATGCAGAATTCTGATACGTTTCAGGTTGGTGAGGGGATGCACTACCAGCAGGTCAAGCCGGATAGGTGTGGCACTCTTTAGCAGGGGGTGAGGTTGTCTAGTTAGGATAATAATACGATTTCTGTAATTATATCCCAAGATCTAGTCAATTAAGATGATTTCAACAAGGTGTCCTCTAAAAAAATGACCATGTTTGGAATTCATTCTGTAGAGAAACTTACAGGCATTTGCTTGGAAGAAAGACAGACAAGGAATTAAAAGAATTTATTGGGCC